TTTTCTTGATTTAACCTGTTTCATTTTGAGCTGTAGTTATTATAGTGCCTGGTCTTGCCCTTACATATTTCTCATGGTAGCAAAACTCCACTGAGGTTTCAGTCTTAACAACAGACTTAGAGCAGCATTTTACAGACCATCTCTTCACCTCTAAAAGAAGTGCATTTCTTACTGACATCCAATTCTGAGGTGGCTTTTACAACTGTAATAAAATAATAACTTCAGGTAATTCCCTGGCTGTTCCACTAGCAGCCAAATACAAGACCTACCAAAAAGGATAAAAAAAATAAAAGGATAAATAAACGGATATATTTGGAATTGGCAAGCTTGCCAAATAAAACGTCACGTCAACAGGGCCATGAATTTTAAGCTGAACTATAACAGCAATGAATATAACCCTGACACACGGGAAAACAAAAGCCTATTTTCTTGTCTAGTTGCCTCTTTGGTACATGCTACCTAAAATGTCATTACTGTAAAAAGTGGAAACGTACACTGTTTCAGCCATATAACACCACCAAGGCATTCCATGCTTTTAAATTCACCTTTTTCTTTATATTACAGAGGCACAACTCCATTAACAAGGTCTCCAGCCATACCACAATGAATTTCTCCAACTTCTCATGCCTTAGACCTTGTGCTCCTCCCCTCTTCTGAAGCTCTGTCCAGGGCTTGGGGTGGCATGAAGGGCTTCTTTTGGGGCCCAGCACCCCAACTGAAATAGTCAAAACATCTGCATCTCCCAGAGGGCTTCAGCTGCAATAGGAAAACATAGGTTCCAAAATCTAAGTCTCCTAGGAACGAGACTTAGATTTTTAATAACATTCAAGACCAGATGATTCACATGTGAGTGAAGTTTCTAGTGCAGTGGTTTTGCAAGACTAAGGATGTACCAAGCAAGCTAGTGTTCTGCTCAGGGAGACTGAGCCCACATTGCCACTTAATGCAAAAAAAATTACTACACCTGCCTGGTGCCAAATTTTCTCCTCTGTCAATCAGCCTGAACAACTGCTGTTGGAATCTGACCCTCATTACTAAACATAAACCATTCGACCCCAATTTGCTCTCCCAAAGGGCCAGGAGTCGTCTGACATTACACACATTTTCTTCCTTTACTTCTTGTGTGCTCTCCCCATGACTGAGGGAGAGCTGGGTCTGACAAAGTAAGGTTGATTTTTTTCACACTCAGTGCTGAGCTCCATATTAGCATCTCTGACTTCAAGTCAGTAACTTGAGCTTTGTCCAAAGCTCCTTGTGTGGAAGGAAAGCTCCCGGGGACCAGCTCTTCTCACAAAGCGTTAACAGCATGAAAGCACTGATTGCTTTTGTAAAACCTGACAGTGATTTTACAAAGTACTACCATTCCAGCAGTTGTATAAATTGCATACAAATGAGACAATTAAAACATGTTAATTTGGTTTTGAACCATCAAGTGAAACTGGAGCCTTTTAAATTAAAGATACAGTGAATTTAGCTGCCTTCAACACTAATGACAAGGACAATATAACAGGCTGGGCTTTCGCTGTAAAGTAGGGGACTCTGGAAGTGTGGTTGAAATTATCATGCCTGAGTACTGATGTCATGCACTTGATGAGTATGTGCTGTACCAAATAATACAAATTATTTTTCCCAGTTAAACATATCTGCTAATATTCAGTGGGGTTTTCCCCCTGGCAATTTCAGAAATTTAGTTTTAGCATTTTGCATCATTTCTATACTAAACAGAACTCCAAGAAAAAAAGTGTTTCTGTACTGTATAAAAACATTTTGGTCTGAATGTTCTTTAGCTTATTTTCTTCCTAAACTATTATTAAGAAGTAATGCTACACACACCATCCGAAACATATTTGGTCTATAGTTTAATATTTCCTTTTAAACCACTATGCTCCTGTGATGACATGGGCTGCATACGGTGACTTATACTTTTCCAGACAAATGTCTGCACCTATAATATGTATCTGCTGAAGACTGTCTTCAATCACGTGAACCCTGTACAAGCAAAACATGTGGTTCTTGGTCTCAAATTCTCCTGCACGGTTGCCATTCAAAACAGATTTTGATTGTGCTGCAATGCGACGTATTCATGTCTTTGTCATAAAACTAAGACTTTTTTTCTTGTTTCTCCTGCAGTTGTCAGTAAACTGTCTTAATTAATTTGGTCAAATGTAACAAAATAAATGGCCGTAGTTCTCTGAAAGAGCATCAGAGAAAGAAAAGAAACTTCGAAGTCTTTCATCAACACTTTTTCATCAAGGCTTCTGACAATGGCTTTAAACTGACAGAGGGGAAGTTTAGATTAGATATGGGGAAGAAGTTCTTCCCTGTGAGGGTGCTGAGGCGCTGGCACAGGGTGCCCAGAGAAGCTGTGGCTGCCCCATCCCTGGCAGTGTTCAAGGCCAGGTTGGACAGGGCTTGGAGCAACCTGGTCTGGTGGAAGGTGTCCCTGCCCGTGGCAGGGGGTTGGAACTGGAGGAGCTTTAAGGTCCCTTCCAACCCAAACCAGTCTGGGATTCTATGATTTCTATGAAGATCTTTTTCCTTTAGCAGCAAGTCTTGAAGTTACAGGAAACATCTCCCTGCAAAGGACAGTCTCTGTCTCTCCCTAAAGCTTTTAAAATATTATTTTTTTTTAAGTTACATAGCCTTTTACAATTTCATATTTCATTGATAAAGTGCTCCACATGGCAGGGAAAAATGGAACATTGACTGAAGGAAATTGGCTGACTTACTTACACTCTCTTATTTCTGAAGCCTCAGTTATAAGATGATGATTTAACCTAGCAGATACCTCTTGGTTAGAGTCTTCAACTGATCCCTGCATTCAGCAAAGTACTGCCAGTGGAAAGCCACCATTGTTCTAGATACTACACTAGGGCCAGATGTCCCCTGGCACACTTAAGTTTCTCGTGTGAACCTAGGACTGCTGAAATAAGCCTTCTCTGCTGGGGTGGGGAAACACTACTAGATCATTATTTCCTTCTAGTTGTACAATATTTTCATGCTCAAAGGTGGAATGAATCTTTCATACTGTGATTTTACAATTTCAATGTGTACTGTCTGGCATGTTGGTTGGCTGTTTTAACCTGTTTTCTCTTTTCCCTTTCATTATAAAGACCAACTTGGCAAGTGCAAGACAAAGCAGATGCTAACAATGTAGCTTATACAACCGGGAAACTATGTTTTCACACTGATTACCCTGTTCTGCAGCATCCACCTGGGGTAAGGTGAATCTACTGCCTTCTTCACAACACAAAAGGGGAAAAGGAAATGTTCCTATAGCATGAAATATGGTTAACGTTCAGTGACTCTGAATTTTGTCTTAAAAGAGCAATGTAAACATAACAATATATTAATCACATAACAATCTATATACACATGGGTATGCAATATATCATAGAATCATAGAATTATTTGGGTTGGAAGAGATCTTAAAGCTCATCCAATTCTAACCTCCTGCCACGGGCAGGAATACCCTCCACTAGACCAGGTTGCTCAAAGCCCCATCCCATATACATTATGACTCAAGTTCTGCATAAGAAAACCATTATGTATCCCATAATTTTTAAGTGAAATTCATGGAATATTGAGATTACCACCATATGAGAAAACGCTAGTGTCCTGTATGTGCTTTTGATACTGTTCTCATTCTATTCAAAAAGTTATTTGTCTAAATGCTATAGTCAATTTGTGACATTTTAGGACTCATCTGTTCACCTCAGGAGGGGAATGTATTAGAAGAAATATGATTAAGATGTTATATTGTCTTTCCTGTGAATTGATTGACATTAGACACTTATTTGCCATTTCGTAACAGACAAAAAAGGGGCATTCTGTAAAGCTGGACAACAACCACAGGCAATATGTTTTCTCCTAGTCCCTGTCACATCAAAGTCTAATCCACGTTCACCATAAAACTGGAAAGGACTAGGAACAGGTACAAAGGAGCAAAAAATAACCCTGGAGAAGTCTGCATCTATAAAACTTCCCCTTCTAGTCTTGTGGAATACTATATATCTGTTGTTTCTATGATTAAACAAAAAGCCAATGTGATTTATCCACAAGTACCAAATACTTCACACTAACATCACCTTTAAAAATCATTTAGATACTGGTTAATTAATGTGGAGTAGGAACAGAACAGGGCTTCATTAATAGAGAGCAGACGTGAATTAGCTCGCTGTCTTACCTGTGCCAAAGCCCACACTGTTATGAAATATTAGAAGAGCATAAGCTTTCTCATTCAAACGTGCTTGTAAGAAATAAAAGTATTAAAGTACATTGAATTATTTTGAACATTATCCTGAACGTGCAGTTTTCTTTATCTAGTTATTACACAGCATTTGAATTCTTAAGATGTATTTCTTACAAATATTTGAAGAAAGAGATGATGTTTAGTTTCAGAACTGTCCCATAAAAATGGTTTTAGGATTTCCTAGGTTTTATTCTGGCAACTATTTTTGCATGAGAGATCCTGATTAAAAGCAAAACAAAATAACGAACAACTGATTATTAGATCTTAGCACAAACATTATCTCTCTAGAATGTAAACTGAATTATCCCTTTGAAATTTTCCATGAAGTACACTGCTGCAGCCCTCCCTAGCAGTGCCAAACTGTGCTTGCCCAATGTAAGGCCAGCTGAGGCCACAAAAGAAAAGAGCTTGTTGCCTTGTGCTCTCTTCAGTGGGACCCCTGAGACACCATGCCCCAGGTTTGTTGGCCAAAAGGAGCATGGCAGGAGGGCAGGAAGCAGCTTCATTGAGTGATTTAACTCAATAAGTCCTTTCCAACAAGTCCTCCTTCTGCACTGTCAGTAATTTAAATTTCTCCCTTCATCACCATCGTCAAGGTCTGTGGGTCTAGCTGGTGAGGTGATTCTGGGGTGAAGCCTGTTCACTGCTCCTTTTTCTCCTCCGGTTTTGTTTGGGTTGGGTTATTGGTTTTTTTTGTTGGGGTTTTTTTTTGGGGGGGGGATGGGGAGAGGGTTGGGAGTGGTAGTGTTTTGATTGCTTTTTTGGTTGGTTTTTTTTGTTTGTTTAGTTGGGTTTTTTTCTCCTAATGGTCTCAGAAATAGCTCACCATCATGGAAGGGAAAAGTGAAGCTGCTTCCATTGGCATGACAGATGTGTTTTGTGTCATTTGGCCAAGATGAATGGCTACACTTTGTGTGATGCTGGACTCTGTAACACCACGGGGAGTTTTACTGCCTGTGTTTGTAGCTCCAGTTTACACTGGTGCAACCCAGAACCCGGGCTTTCTGCTCTGTTTTACGCCTTGGCAATTTCACTGTGAAATGAAATGAAACTGTCTTAATCCTATTTTATCATAGAGATACCAGGCCTGTTGCCTTCTATGACAGCCACCTTTCCCCTGCTGTGAGCCTATCATTCACAGGAGGTTTTGTTTCTGCAACAGAAAGCTAATCCTCCTTGTTGAGATAAGACTGCATTTAAAATTACACGACTGCCACAAAGAGGGACTCAAAGGACAGAAGTGAGAACAGAGCTTTACAGTTGACTCACAGGTTGCAAACATTAGAAGATAGGCCAAATGGGATGGATTGATAAACATGCTGCTTTAATTTGCTGCCTTTGTGATAGTGGTGGCAGAGCGCTGTGAAGCTGCAGCAATGGGAACTCAGTCTTTCACTGAAAACCAAACCCAAACAAAACCACAGAGCCACGGATATAAGGGAAAGGATACTAATGACCTGTTAAATATGCAAGCTAATTCTTGCTTTTAATGAGATGTTAATTTGTTCCAGGTTCAGTTTCTCCACTGTATAAAACAGACAGCCACAGGAGGTGAAACTGAAGTTGTAGATGGATTTCATGCATGCCAAAAGTTGAAGAAACAAAATCCTCAGGCGTATCAGATCCTGTCCTATACTGCTGTAGACTACACAGATGTTGGGAGGGACTACTGTGATTTTGCTGTGCAATGTAAACAAAGAATTATAGAGTGAGTAGTTTCGGCAGGGAAAACTAAAATCCCTTTCGTACGGCAAGTTTTGTCTGCTCCTGCCACCTTGTGGGAAAACACTGGTTTAACTGGGTCTATAGTTATTCTGGGGGGTTGGGAGATTTCTGTGATTTTGGTTTTGAAGCAATTTAGAGTAAGAACTGTACGCTAGAAAAAGATCAAATGCAAATGTTTATAATCTCTTCTGAATCTAAAAAGCTTATGATTCTACAATTAAAGAGTATAGAAAACAGAATTTTGAACGAATTAAATGTCTACATTTTCTCCTGATTATCCCGAATTAGGCTTAATTATAAAAGCCAGTGCAATAATAACCTGAATTTCACTATAGAAACATACTGAAATTCCAGCAGGAGAATGAAGTTGTTGTTTAACTGTCTTAAAATGTTTCAGTAACATAATACATGCCTTTTCCTTTCCTTCTCTGTTTCCTAGCGTGGATTCCAGAGGCCAAGTAGTTCGCATCAATTACAATAATGCAACAAGAGACACTGTGTTTGACATACCAGCTGAAAAAGTGAGGCCATTTTATGCAGCTCTAAAGGAATTCAATGATTTATTAAACAGTGCAGAACTCAAATTTACTCACAAGCTGAAACCAGGTCAGTAAGTTGCTTCTCCTTGCAATGATTTTTCGAATGTTTTTCCTAGCAGCCAAAACACTTCAGCACTGTTAGCACCGGTACTGAGAGGAGATTTAAGTCCTTCCAGCACCTATTGCATTTCATACCACGTCTTTACATTCATCTCAGATTTCTTTTGCCATTGCTCACTATAAAGGGAAAAAAAAAAGGGGGGGGAGGGTGGGTTGACACCACCGTCTGCCTATTGATGAGTCCAATGTATTTTTATACTACATCAAAACCCCACACATAGAGGAAATTGTAGCTTGCCATATCAGTAGTACCACAGATGGGAAATACCATGTGTAAGACTGCTGTGCCACCCCAGTTCAGTGCCTGATCCTTAAATGATACAAAATCACATACTTTTTCCTCTGCTTCACTTGACGCAGAGTATGGACATTAAGCCAAATGATATGGGGGTGGGGGGAGGGGGTGGTTATGGCACTTTGTTAGTGGGGCACCTTCCCAATGGGGGCACCTTCCCAGCGGCTGCAGGGACTGCAGAACATGGAAGATGATACAGATGCACAATGTGCATAATGCTGAAGGAAGATGAGCAGCGCTGTGGGGAATCCGTCTGTGTCTTTGCTCAGGCACCCAACATCAGCATCATGCAGGATGAATTACTGAAGGCCTTTGCTGCTGTGCTGCTTCTCCTGGGTGACCCATGCAAGACATCTGGAGGCAGATTTGCAGATGTGCTAAGTGCTCTGAACTTCAGCTAGAGTTGTACAGGGCTGTGTTTTGAACACAAAACACACTGCAAAAAATGCCCCTTACTCTTTGAAGTCTGTGCATATATTTAACTACTTTGGCCTCAATTTCTGTTCTTTCATTCCCCAGCTATAAAATAAAGATATGAATAGTCCCTCATCTCTCAAAAGATGCTACAAAAGTAAATCCATTAGTGCATCTGACTGCTTCATGTACTATGATGATAGTGTCTTTAAAATGTCAATGAGGAAGTTAATCTCCCTCTATCGGGAACATGAAATAAAATCATTTATAAGATCACATAATAAATAGTAAAACAAAGTACCTCACATTACATTAGTACCATCTACCCCATCAATTAATGCACCAAAATGGTGGTAGAAGTGAGGGGGAGAAGGGAAGACATACTATAAGGATATATAATCAGAGATTTATCTACCACAAGGAAGAAAAATTAAAATGGCATGCTCTCCTTCATGATGTGAGTTCCTAACTTTCAATGTCTTGACTTTGTTCTCGGAGAAGTCTTCTGAGGAGGATAGCAGTGCAGGATGTGTATAGTATGAGTAATACCACACTGATCAAATGAAAATAATCCTTTTGGCTTTCACCCTTTTTCTCCTTCTTGTGGATTTGCTGCAGTTGCCTTTCCCTTCAAAGGCCTGCTTTTCTCAGCATGGACTCCCCTACCACTCCTGGTTATGCCAGACAAGGAGCAGAGGTTGAAAGGGACCTCCCCTCTCTAGTTGAGAATGACCAGTAAATTAAAATTACTGTGCTGTTGCTGTGTATCTCCAGCCAAGCTACTCAAAATTATTGCTCCCTAACTGATGATAGAAGTCTATCTCCATGTTCTGTTTGAGGGAATTAACTATAACGTACCAAGTATTAAAAATCTCTTTACAGGAGACATAATGACATTTGACAACTGGCGTGTGCTTCATGGTCGCCAAAGCTACCCATCGGGTTCAGGAGCGACTCGTCACCTGGAAGGTGCCTATGCAGACTGGGATGTGGTCATGTCAAGGCTCCGGCTCCTAAGGAAGAGGGTACTGAACAGGGACTGAGCTTTCTTCTAACTAGAATGAACAAAACGTAGATTGTTTAATCTCAATAATGACAAAAAAAACCCCACCCCAATAAAAAATGTGTTTTCTTTTCAGAAGCTAACGTCACAAATAAAGTATTTTTAAATTCCATAAGAAACCTTGTTGTTCATAACTCAAGATTTATCTGTGTCTCTGAACCCATAAAATGCATTGCTACCTCTGTCAGTTTATTTGCATTTTAAAACCAATGTACAAAATGGCTTGAAAGATTATCACTTTACTGGTCTGACTGGATATCCCAATGCCTTCCGTGGCCTTTACAGATATACCTGCCTGCCCTAGGACGCTTGGAAGGCAGCATCAAAAAAGAGCTTAAAGTATTACCTGCTAAAGTTTCGTTATCAACATCATCTTCCTTTATTTTCAGAGAGGCATTCTTTATTGCATAAATCATAACTAAAATTCATTATCAAAATTAACAACCTTTGCTGTGGAGTTAATTCCATATACACACTTCTCCAGGTAGAACTCCGCTTTAATAAGCTCTCATTCAACAGATACTGTATTCTGTATATCCTGCTGTGTATGTGATGACTATCACAGCCACAAGTCCTTGTTCCTACATTTCAAAGTCCACAAGCTCAGAAATGATTGATATTCCAGAGAAGGTGTCATATTAATTTTCCTCTGCATTAGGAATACAAATAAATCTCAGTGTAGAGGTTGCAGATAGGGTCAGAAATCCCATCAGGCGTTGTGCACAGACATAATTAAGATGTGCAGGGCAGGCAGACTTTTGAGTAAATTCAAGAGGAGGAATGCTGATGCTGTTTGGCAGCTATAAACCACAGAGCACAAGAGGTAGTTATTGACTCAATACCTGACAGAGAAGTGGTGACTGAACTCAGACCCGGTTTTGTTACACCAAAAACAAGATCATGGCTCTGACAGACTTGGTCTGCAGGATGTTTTCCTCTAGGTTGTATTCTGAAGAGAGATTACACTATGTAAAAATTACTGCAGCTGAAGTAGTGGGGTTTTTTTCCCCAGTATTCAGATGCCAAATTGAAAGAGAAATAATTAAACCCCACTTGTTCTTATACAAAGCAATATGTCCCTGAGTTTATTTGTCACTGTCCCTATAGCTGTGGAGCTAACAGGACAGCATCTCACTGTGCTGTGAGCGGGACAAGATAACCACACCTCTACCCTCAGATCTGCCCTGTTCAACCATTTGTTTTCAAACTCTTCCTTGAAAGTCAATTAAATACTAGTTTATTCCTAGTATGCTAAAACAATAGGACTGTAACTACTGAATTAAAACCTCAGCATAAGCGAGACCCTAACATCAGCCCACAAACACTTCCATAGCTTCTACTCATCATTTACAGGCAACAGATATCCCAGCTGAATAATCAAATAAAACTAAATAAGGCTTTGATCATGAGCTAGCATAGGGCATTCGAATCCATTCCTCTCTATAGTGCATAGTGAAGTGTTTTTATTGAAGTTACGGCATTAAGACATAGCATAATAAAACTGGCTTTTAGTGGCAATTTGTTTGTGCCTTCTTTAAGAATTAATTTTGGAAATATGAGAAAAGTATTTTTTGCCTTTGCTATTAAAGGGGAAAAAGATGAAGAAAGGTTAATAGCTATATTCTGTAAGACACCAGCACTACTTTGCTTCACTGTGATATTTTCCATACAACATTTGAGTGAAGAATGCAATTTTTAACTTCAAAACAAGACATCTTGGGATTTATACCAATGATAAATAGGGAAGAGATATTTTCTGCTTTTGTTCTGTCCTTTTCTAAAAACTGGTTTATTCACATTTCTGCTTTTTAAAAACTATTATGGAACTGATTACTGTTTTGGGCTCGTATCTAATCTCACACATAATATCGTGCACAAAGATATTAAGCCATTATTCATTTACAAATGTTTGTAAATACGATTACCTGACCACTTCCTACCATCCATTTGCCTCATATTTTCCCACCACTCAGAACAGCTGAATTAGGGACTACATTAAGGCCAGGTTGGACAGGACTCAGAGCAACCTGGTCTAGTGAAAGGTGTCCCTGCTCGTGGCAGAGGGTTGGGACTGGATGAGCTTTAAGGTCCCTTCCAACCCAAGCCACTCTATGATTCTATGATTAGACCTGTATCCATTCAGGTTTGTCCTGTATACTTAACATATAATTAAACTACAACTAAACCCACATCTTTGAACAGCTTCTGGGAAAACAAAACACAAAGTCAAAACCAAACCCAACTGACCAACCAACCACAGCCCTGCAGAGCACTTGGGGGTGTTGGTGAACGAGAAACTGAATATGAGCCAGCTTCAGTGTGCTCTCACAGCTCAGCAAGGCAACAGTGTGCTGGGCTGCATCAAAAGAAGCATGACCAGCAGGTCAAAGGAGGTGATCCTGACCCTCTACTCTGCTCTTGTGAGACCTCACTTGGAGTATTGTGTCCAGTTCTGGAGTCCTCAACATAAGAAGGACATGGAGCTGTTGGAGCAAGCCCAGAGGAGGGCCACGAGGATGATAAGAGGGCTGGAGCACCTCCCTTGTGAAGACAGGCTGAGAAAGTTGGGGGTGTTCAGCCTGGAGAAGAGAAGCTGCGTGGAGACCTCATAGCAGCCTCCCAGTATCTGAAGGGGGCCTACAAGGATGCTGGGGAGGGACTCTTCATCAGGGACTGTAGCAATAGGACAAGGGGTGATGGGTTTAAACTTAAACAGGGGAAGTTCAGGTTAGATATAAGGAAGAAGTTCTTCACAGTGAGGGTGGTGAGGCACTGGAATGGGTTGCCCAAGGAAGCTGTGAATGTTCCATCCCTGCCAGTGTTAAAGGCCAGGTTGGATGGAGTCTTGGGTGACATGGTTTAGTGCAATGTGTCCTGCCCATGGTAGGGGGGTTGGAACTGGATGATCTAAAAATCCTTTACAACCCAAACTATGCCATGAGTCTATGATTCTGTATATCCTGACCTTCTTGAACTGTCTAAATTTTCCAAAAATATCAACTTCATGTAAATAAGATGATATTTATTTAAAAGGCAGCTTTGCACATCGGAGGCATATGCCACATACACACGGAAGATGGGCAGGTGTAGGAGTGCTGCAGCTCCAGGTTCCCAACAGCACAATCACCCTGCCTGTATGCAATATGCAGCATATAAATCCTTCACTATTATACATAAACATAATTCAAGCTACTGTGTGTTCAAAAAAGTATTGCATACAGAATGGAGTACAAATAATGGTCAAAACTGTTCGTGAGTAGAAATGTGAAGTTCTGCACAAACCAAATCTAATCCCTGCTACACCACTGTGGGGCACCACACACAGAGTAACTGAGGAAGGGTCAGACATTACCCATACTGACCTGATGGACAACCAAAAAGTAGGTTTCTGGCTGCAAACCTGCTGCTCAACCTCTAGGACCCAGCTACTGTCTACACCACAAATTTTAATCCTAAACACCTTTCCATACCACTGTAGTCGTACTAGGAAAAGAGAGCATTTCTGTAACTGTCTGCAAAGTAGATATCCTGCTGAGTTTACCAATTCGTGGTCAGGCTAAATATTGGAGGAAGCCTCACATGGGTTTATTTCCCCTTCCTCTCCAAATCCACACTGAAGAGTGTGATTGCAAAGCTGTCAGATAGGTCTAGCTTCTGACCTGTCTCCAATACTGACATGTGCAGGTCACCCAGCGTGGATACCCCAGCCTTCGAAGGCTACCAGGCCCAACTGTCTCTGCCATCTTACAGCAGTAAGAAAAAATAGCTGGTTTTAGATGTTTGCAAAACAATTCTGAAGAAGTTTTGGGCTATATCCAGAGGTTTCTAATGGACATGAGTTCACTTAGCTGGTAGTCCAGGAGCTATAATGCCTTGTTACCTTTATGCTGTTCATGACACATCGACTATTCAGCTGTGGTCTGATGTTGCATCTAGTGGGCTCACAGCACAGATGGAGAAACAAAAAAAACCCATATCCATTCTGTTATTTGCAAATGTTTTTCTCTTTTGTCTTAGCTTTCTTCTCCTGACATCGCATTTTGTAGCAATGGATGTTGGATCCAACCCCATGGCACTGTTTCCATGTACCATTCTTAAAATATCTTTTTATATATCAAATTTCCAGCTAGTTTTTAAAGCTTGCAGAAAGTATATAATGTTTTGGGCATATCAGTACACTCACACCTCCATGACTCGCTTCACCACAGCTCTGCTTTAGCCACTGCTGAGCTACCTGCAGCATGTGCCACCCATGTTTTGGCTGGTTGCACAGTAAACCTGAGCACAGAGAGATTTCCAAGTGCTTGCTGTGGGAAGAAAACTGGACCAGCTGCCCAGATTTGCAAGTTGAAATGCATTGCTACATGTAAGTCCAGAGTTACATAAAATGTTATTTGTATATATATGTACACCATGTATGTACAGCAGGCATTAGCTGTTCTCTGATGTTCTTCAGGTATTCAAAAAGACATTTGGCAATTAGGGTCTGGCTCCATTGGTACTTTCAGGCTTATTGGCTGTATTCATTTTTACTGTAGGTTGGAGAAGTAGTTATAGTCATTAAAATAATGATCACTTTGTGACTGATTCTTTCTTACTCTAAAATACCTCCAGCTTCTAAGTTACTTGTCCAAGTTGACAGAGTATAAAGCACATGCTGCTGCTTAAAATCCGCGCTTCTATAATTTCACAGCAAATTAAATGCAGCCTCTCATCATAAATGCCAATGTATTACTTGTGTGCTGATTTTGGCTGGAAAATACGTATTTATTCCGTACCGTGTTTTTCTCTGAAGCAAACCAGAGAAAGTGCTTTGCAATCTTGTCTCAAATTCTCCCTAAGGCAAATGAGTTTTTATTCTACCTCCACATTCTAACTGTCGCTTCAGGGCAAGTCCATATTTGAAAGATTCATGCTAGAAATCTGAAATCACTTTTGGTAAAAGCTAACATAATAAATATATTTATACACATGTTTTAGACTTACAGCAAAAATCCCCCCACCCTGTTATGCCAGTCCA